TGGTCTCAATCTCTCAGGCTCAAGCAATCTGCCCACCTTGGCCTCCCAAAGTGTTAGGATTACAGGTGTGAGCCACTGACCTGGCCTCATATCATATTCTTGGTTGCTAGTAAGCCAAAATTACCTCTCTGTAGGCCTACGGTTTTTTTGTTCTTGCATTTGTGATTGAGGTTTGTAACTCCCCCAAGGAGGGAACGTCACCCACTATATTAGTATTTGCACAATTTGGCCTTCTTTGTGGAACTGACTATGCTGTCCATCAACGATACAGCAATTTAAAATAGGCCAATATAGCATTTTTTAAATTATATATTTCAAATCAAATGTTTGAAATCACCCACATAAGAAATTTTACATTTTTCCAAACCAGCAGATTTCAGGCATAAAATATTTCATTCTAAATTTCTTGGTTATAATTAACCAAATAGTATTAAACTTTCAAAATGTTAGGATATCACTGACAATATGCAAATCTGTTTAGGGAGCTAATAATCTTAAAAGCTTCTAAAACCTCAAGAGAAAAACTCTTCGGTTTTCTCTCAAAAATATTGAGCAGCTAAATTTGCTTTACAAATTGCCATTCTTCCTTGGTAATCTATAATCTAAACTAAGCCAAACACATTCAAGCCTGTACTCCCTATTTTAAACATCTTTGGGGCTTAAGAGTAGGAATTTCTCTAAATGTAGAAAAAAGGCGACCATTTAAATAATTTAGTGAAAATATAATTGCCTTATTCTAAATATAAGTTTTTCAGAGCATATTAAAGAATTCTGGGACTTTAAGGAACATTTCTTGCGGGAAAATCTTCAATTTTCAAAAAAAGAATGCTTGGTTAAGAATTGTTTTTAATAACAAAAGAAGTAACCACTTTCTGATATTACAGTGTATTTACAGTAAGGTTTTCTTTGATTGATGTGAGTTATGCTTATCGTGATGAAGGAGGGAACAAAAAAATATTTCTACCATATATTCCTTAAAGAATTAGGCATTTGTTGTTTTATGTGGCAAGATTCACTGTTTCACTACTTTCTGGGAGATAGAAATGTATATTCATGTTTTATCTGTAAGTATGTAAGATGCATACTTAAACACACACAGATAACCTGTGTTGGCCTTCACTGTTTACGCACTTCTTACTCTCATTGTCCTGTGATGAGTGAGTGAACAGTTCAAAGATAACTTTATATACTATGGGTCAAACAACTCGGCATTCTTTAAAGCATCTTCTTTACATGTACAAAATAACACTAAAAATGAATAGCCCATGAACCATCCTACCATTCATTACCCAAGTCACTCACTATGTGGACAGGATAGGACTGAATTACATAAAGGATGGATAATACAACTTTGTATTGAAAGACTAGCTGGGTACATGGCTGGCATTCAAATGCTTACTCATTATATTAGTGATTAAGGAGAAGGGTACTCAAGACTTAAACGCTTGTAAGACATTTGTCTGGGGTTAAGAAAGTGGCTTGTGGTCATAAAGAGACTGAATTTTGAAACTAGTATCAAGAGCAATATACTTCAAAAAAAAATTAGGAACAAAAATGTAAATCAGCCTAATAGAACCAAGCTAGGCGGAGTAAACTCCAATACATTCGTATACTAAACGGCAGCCGAGCACAAATCCCACACTTGAAAAATTATCAGCTTTTTCCTCTATAGAACACTAATTTTTTTCCAGTAGAAGAAACCTAAGGCAGAGAACTGTGGATACTGTAGTATAGTACTCAATACTCTAAAATAAACTCAAAGACAAAAAGGAAATCACAGGCAAGCCTTCTGGGAAAAAAAAAAAAGACTCAATGGAGAAAAAGATGAAACGAAGCCTGTAAGTAGGTCACCTTATTGCTTTTGCTAATGCCAAAACACCAACCCTTATCATTTTCATTACCAAGAATTACTGAAGGAAAACACTAACCTTTGTGTTGGCTGCAATCCAATTGGAGGTTTCACTGTCATCATCGCACTTTTTAATCCATTTCTTTAACCACTGTTTGAAAACAACAATTGTTAGAATACAACAAAAGACTTTGAAAAAGAGCAAATTACTTTAGCACTTAACTATAGTCAAGCTTAACTGTAAAAGCCAATGAATAAGATTATCACTAGGCTCACATCTTCTTAAGCCAGGGAAATCCCGTAACTATAATGTCCAGTATATATAAAATCAACCAAAGTAGGATTTTCTTTGGTAGAAGCTGAGTGGGGAACCTACAGCTTGAAAAGAAGCCCAACTACAAGGTGTGTATTCCCCTAATTACAAAGCCTGACAAAGACGTGCCTTAGCCATGGTTATCCTAGTAATAATCAGGAGCTGACTTTATACTAAGGAATTACCTCTGAATACATGCAATAATCATCTGAAATTAAAAGGGTAAAAAAAAAAAAAACCTACCAATAGATAGATAAAATCATCAGCTATGATTTTCAGTCACTAAGTCTTAGAAGTGTGTCATTACATTATTTAAAAACGGAAATGTCAGACAAACTCACCTTACATTTAACAGGATCATGCCAATTTTCTCCACAGTTAAAGCTGTTAAGTGATACAAAGAGTTAATAGAATTAAGGCCTACCTACAGTAAGTAAGTAAATAAGCCAATCATGTCATGCCTTATAGTTCCACAGTCACTAGTTTCTAGTGATTGGCAAATACAAGGAGAGAATCCCTGTCTCCTTTACGGTTAATTACCTAGAATTTAGTATTAGAACTAAAACATAGTGGGTACTCAATATGTGTGAAATGAAGAATGACTATAAGCATGAAGACACGCTTTGATGACAATTTCATAATAATTGTTGCTAAGGTGCCTCAGACTATATTGAGAAGTTTCAACCCATGTTTCATCAGTGTATTTTTAATCTTTTACTTAACACCCTAAATGAAGAATAAAAGGCTGACTTTGTAGGTTACTTATGTAATTTAGTACTAATACACAGTAGACAATATATGGGAAGCAAACAGGTCACATCTTTGCATTATTTAAACAAAAGAGCCTCAGCCCTGTAGAGGGAAATGGTACTCGGCAAGGTATATAAAAAAAAAAGACTAACTACTTACTAAACACGTATTAATCGGTAATTCACTTTTGTTTTCTAACCTCATGACATATACATTTGTAAAAGAAAGATAATTAACAAACACAAATGCTTAAGAAAAAAATAATAAAACGACAGATTAGCTAATTAAGTAATTTACAAATGGCAAAAAATCCTTTGCTAAAGAGACAAACAAACTACTATTGATTTAAATCAGGTTAAGATAAATGGTTATTTCTGAAAAGAAAGATGGGGAATGGGAAGGAACATGGAACTAAGGAGCTTCAAATATACGTGTCATGTTTTATCTCTTAACGAAGAAAAACAAAATACTAATTTCGCTTTAGCTGGATTGTAGCTACATAGGGTATTCACTGTTGTATTCTCTATACTTTGTTTGACACGTGTCATGCTAAAAATACATTGGAAAGTAGGTATTATCCACCTTTTCTCTAAAATAACAATGCATATTTAATCTTTATTCTAACAGTATGTATTTTACACATATTCAATCTCTGTGAGCTTACCTGCTCTTTTTGGAAATATTTATTATTAATGATGTGTTAAGTGTAATTCTATAGATGTTTGGAGGAAAAAAAGAAAGGTATGGCATACCAATAAAATATCTACCCCCCATCCCCCCAAAAATATCTGGTTGGCCATGGTGCTTCTTGCCAGTAATCCCAGCACTCAGGGAGGGCCAAGGCAGGTGGATCACTTGAGGCCAGGAGTTCAAGACCAGCCTGGCCAACATGGTGAAATGCTGTCTCTAAAATAAATAAATAAATAAACAAACAAACAAATAAGCAAGCCAGGCGTGGTGGCACACGCCTGTAATCCCAGCTACTTGGGAGGCACAAGAATCGCTTGAACCTGGGAAGCAAAGGTTACAGTGCAAGATCGTGCCACGTACTCCAGCCTGGGTGATGGAGTAAGACCCTCTCTCAAAACAAAACAAAACAAAAAATCTATTTGCTGGGTCTAGAGCCCCTTGGCTTGACGGGCTTCTTACTCCTCAAGACCCTCAAAGGAACAGAAAAGCATGTTAAACTTCTAGCAGGATATAAATGTTAGTGTCCCACTAAAATGTGTATGTTAAAACTTAATAACCAATGTGACAGCATTAGGATGTGGAGCCTTTAGGAGGTGAATGGAATTGGCATCCTTTAACAACAACAAAAAAAGGGCCCAGAGAGATGCCTTGTCCTTTGCACCATATGAGGACCCAGCAAGTAGGCACCATCTATGAACCAGAAAAGCGGGCCCTCACCAGACAACAAATCTTTTGGCACCTTCATCTTGGACTTCTCACCCTTAAGAACTGTAAGAAATAAATTTATGTTGTTTAGAAGCCACCCAGTTTATGGTCTTTTGTTATAACAGCCTGAACATGAAGACAGAAAATGGTACCAAGAAGTGAGGGGGCTGTTGTAACAAAACCAAAAATGTGAAAACCGATTTGAAACTAGGTAATAAGTAGAGGCTGGAAGAGCTTGGAAGTGCAAGCTAGAAAAAGCCTAGATCACTGTGAATGAACTGAACTGTTAAAGGGTAATTCTGGTGAGGATTCAGAAAGACAGAAGTGTGGGCAATGCCTCAATCATAGAGAAAACCTAAATAAATGGCCATGAACAGAATGTTGTTAGAAATAATGGACATTAAAGGCCATTATGATGAGGTCTCAGATGAAAATGAGGAACATGCTGTTAGAAACTAGAAGAAAGGCCATCCTTGCTATAAAGTGGCAAAGAAGTTGGCTGAATCGTTTTGGGGAAGGTAGAGATATGAAACTGAATATCTGGTTGAGGAAATTACCAAGCAAAGTGTTGAAGATGCAGCTTAGCTTCTCTTCAATGTTTTAGAAAATGCAAGAAGAGATGAATGACCTAGAGATAAACTGTTCATCAAAAGGAAATAAGAAGTCAAAAATTTGAAAAATTTTCAGCCTATCCACTTTGGAAAAAACGAGAACACCCATAAAGGAGCCTGAACTGATTAAGACATCCCCTAATATATGGCACTGGAAACTTCCTGGCAGTTCAAATCTAGAATTCAGAGGCTGAAGAGTATACTATAGAACTCCAAAAGCCCAAGTTACCAAGAAAGCTGGGCAAGAAGAGCCACAGCAAAACTCTTAGTTAAAAAGGAGACCATCAGCCGAATTTACCTGCACATTTCCTTTGCATAAGTAAGGTTAAAATTTGGCAGAGTAAAGGAAAACGTATAGTCCCAAATCTACAAGTTTGCTTCCCTTAAGTTACAGTGGAGCATACAGGAAGATATGATTAGAGTTGTATATTTTCTCCATAAAAAAAATTCAAAAAAGTTAGATCAAGGAAAGAGGAAAAATTTTTTAAGACGTGACCTTTTCATACAATTCTCAAAGAAATATATACTATTTTAAACCAGTATCAGACATCTCCCTGCCGAAGGGAAACATTTTTTTTCTTCTATTTTACTACCAAGAATAAACAGGAAAAATAAAAACGCTTCGTGCACTATTTCAGTTTAGGAAATCACTTGCTTACCAAAATTGGCGCCCACATTTGCAGTGAACAGGTTTAGCATCAGGATATTGGACTTTAACAACATGGTGGCAATCTGGGGCAGGACACCACTTTAACAGTCGATTGCACTGAAATACAAGTTAGAAAATAAAAAATGACAGCTGGTTGGGCACAGTGGCTCACACCTATAATCCCAGAACTTAGGGAGGCCAAGGCGGGAGGACTGTTTGAGGTCAAGCACTCAAGATCAGCCCGGGTAACACAGCAAGACCTTCTCTCTACCTACAAAAAAAAAAAAAGAAGAATTTAGCCAGTCATGGTAGTATGTGCCTATAGTCCCGACTACACAGGAGGCTGAGGCAAGAGGATCACTTGAGCCCAGAAGGTAAAGGCTGCAGAGAGCTGTGATCATCTGCTGCACTCCAGCCTGGGTGTCAGAATGAGGCCCTGCCTCAAAAAAAGGCAGCAAATTAAATTAGGTCACGATGCAAGATTTAATAGTACATCAAGCAATTATTTATATTGCTTCTCTGGTACAAGGGGCAAATGGGGGATGATGACACAAGCTTATCAAAACTTGCTGTGGTCTTCTGTGGCAACACTTTCAGATGTACTGTTTTTTTTTGTTGTTTTTTGTTTTTTTTTTAAGATGACTGATCCTTGAAGACTCGGTTTTATAAAATACATGAATTATCTCTTGTTCTATGTTCTTTTAATCCCACTGAAACTTTAATTAAATATTATGCATGTGATCATTGAAAAGCACTAATTTATTTATGGTTCTATTTCAGAACAATTTTCAAAAGACACAAGAAAATCAGATATACTCTTTATCAAGGAAGGTGCTTTGATGCTACAGAATAGTTCAAGATAGGCACAGGATATACATACAACTTCTCCCATGAAAAGCTCTTGTAAGGAAAAAAAAAACCCAGTTCCTAAACCACAGGCAAAGAGTGCATTTTAGTTCCTCAAAAGGAAATATAACTTTTATAGTATTTTTATTATGAACCAAAACACTCTGCACCAGAATTCAGAAGTCCGTTGACCATTTCAAATAATACTCTATTTCTAAAATAGGCTGTTTCCAGGTTTAATCTCTAACAGAAATCATTACTTGTTAGAATGAGAAGACCAAGTTACACTGATGTTGTCATACAGGATCTGGTCAACTCCTCTGTAAAGAGCCAAGAGGGTAAAGAATTTTGGTTTTGCAGGCCAGAACAGCCTCCGTAGCAACTACTCAACTCTGCCACTGTAGCACAAAAGGAGTCATAGAACAAATGGGCAAAGGCATGGTCCAATAAAGTATAGCATTCTTTATTAACAAGATTTACTGGTAATGAAACCTAAAACGAGCAGAGAAATAGCAGGGTTAGAATCTCATGGTTAAACATGACACGATTAGTAATCTACTACAATTCTCTGCTATGGTAAAGAAAAAGAAAGAAAGAATACACTAAAAATGATTTTATTATCCAAGGTCAAGATATATGGAGATATCTACTTACTGGTTTCTCATACTCTTTTATTTTATTTTACTTTTTATTAAGAGGGAGTCTCGCTCTGACATCCAGGCTGGAGTGCAGTGGCACGATCTCGGCTCACTGCAACCTCCGCCTCCGAGGTTCAGGCGATTCTCCTGCCTCAGCCTCCCAAGTAGCTGGAATTACAGGCTTGTGCCACTGTGCCCAGCTAATTTTTGTATTTTTAGAAGAGACGGGGTTTCACCATGTTGGCCAGGCTGGTCTTGAACTCCTGATCTCAGATGATCCACCCACCTCGGCCTCCCTTAGTGCTGGGATTACAGGCGTGAGCCACCGCACCCGGCCTGTCATACTCTTTTGAGAATAAAGGTATTTTGGCATGCTTCGAAATATGGTAAAGAAGTTTTTTTACTGTCAATAAATTATAATTTTTAAAAATAGTATTTCTATTAATAAACAGAATTCCTTCCTACAAGAAGGAAAACAAATCACTTACCTCTACAAAGCTATTTGTTATTAAATGCTGATACTTTAATTTAACTTTTGAATCTGTGATCAGGCGCCTGAAACCAAGAATAAAAATAGATTAGAAAGTTTCCAGTCAAGAGTATTTTCCACATTTATAAAACATAGTTTCCAAAGCTGTTTATGCTAATGGCTACAGAAAAGTTTATGCCCTAAGCTGTAAATACTGAAATGCACACAGGCTATCAACAAATGTAATTGTACTGATCAAAACAATAATTTCAAAGTCTGTATAGTTTTATTTTCATAGACTTTTTTTTCCATGGTTCTTATTTTTTAAATATTCTTCTTTTACCCAGTTTTTATTACAGCCTAATGACTTACCAACTAGTGCCAAGTTTAGGCGCATTTCAGGGTCTTTTGACTCTGATATCATGCCTTAAAAGACAGCAGTTCTCAGCCACCTTCCTTCAGACACCCCACCCAAATCAGTATGTGAAATGAGACAGATATTGTTGACAGAAATGTTAAGAAATGGATCCAGGTTTTGTGACACCTAAAGCTCATATAATTTTAAGAGCCTTCTTCCTCTGAGAGCTCTTGGAAATTAACCAGAAATGCTCACTGGTTGCATCCTGGCCTCTTCTGAACACTCTATAATTCACAAGAATTTCCAGAACTCACAGGAGCCCACGTCGTGAGGAACCCTGAAGCTTAAGTTTCACTAATTCTGTGGTAAACGCTCCTGAGTGTATTACAAGAAAAAGAATTCCCACTGAGAAAGACAGGAAGAACATGCATGTAGCTCAACCCCATTAAAATATTTTAAATGAACCAGACAATCTGGCCTCATCTGACTCTTCTGAGCTTCACAGGCCTCTCTCCTTCCACAAGATCCCACCCTGTCCTGTGCCACTTTCAGTGCACTTCTATCACATTCGTATTCTTGTATTTCCTTCAAAACAGTAAGTACCACCCTTCATCAGAGGTTTTGCATAAGGCTGCCTCCCTTGGAAAGACAAGAATACTATAATGGAGCTCTAAGATGGGAGAGCCGAGGTTTGAATGCCGGCCTCACCACTCACTAGCTATGAATTGAAGGTAAATTCTTTGAACTTTCCATTCCTCAGGTTACTAATCTGTAAAATAGATATCAGAAATACGGTTGTGAGACTAGAATAGTGCCTGGCAGATAGTAAGCACTCAAAAAATATTAGACGCTATTACTATATTACTTCACTCAGTTACAATCAAGTATTACTCAAGGAAGCCTTTCCTGAGTTTCCACACTCGTTTGGATATAGATCCCCTCTCAATTCTCATGGTACCTTAAACATCTCCTTTATAGAAATTATCATAACTTTAATTAGACAGTTATCTGTATAATCATTTAATATTTGTCTTTCTCCTCCCAACCCCAAGAAAGGATACCCAGGTGTCCGGTACAGTGCCTGGCCTGTAGAAAGTGTTCAATTAATATTCTTTAAATGAGTAAATCTCCGTATTTCACAGAAGTGGAACCCGTGATCTAAAAATAAATCGTGTGGTTCCACAAAAAGTTAAACATAGCGGGCCGGGTGCGGTGGCTCACGCCT